CTTCAGACTGAACTGACTGACAGAAATAAGAAAGAAGCTAAGAATTTGGGGCTGTTACAGAAACTATGCATGGAAGAACAGCAAGCTAGCAGCGAAGGTGAATATATGAATCTATAAGACTTTTATGTGGTCTTTCCTGCTTTATGGTTCAGAAATGTGGACTACATATGCTAGACTGAACAGCTTCCACATGAGATGCCTGTGTAAGATCCTGAAAATAAAGTGGAAAGATCAGAATATGAAACACAGAGGTACTAAAGTGCACAGGACTAACACACTTAGAAACCACTGTCAAGAAGAGGAGATTGCAATGGACTGGCTATGTCAGGAGAATGGGAGAAGACAATACAAAATCTTTTGTATAGCTAGATTCAAGACAGCTCTAGAAAGTAGGGTTGCTCTAAGGCGGGGTACCATGACTGAAGTCATTTAACATTCTGGAATTGAAGTCATTTAACATCAGTGTAGAAAGCTAGGAAGAGTGGTTGGATTCCTGTCCGATCTGGAGGGGACATCTAGCACTGGGTGCCTGGTCAACATGAAGTGCCTTTGATCCAGAGGATGAAAGCAAATTGAGAAAGAAGAAAACAGCATGCTGGAAACTTGGACTCTAACTCAGACAACACACGGACCTGTGAAACTACGTTGTGGTGGACGTAGTCTTTCTGGACTTTAGGAAAGCCTTTGACACTGTCTCTCACCCCATTCTCATTAAAAAAAAATAGGCGACTGTGGTGTCAATGCCTACACAGTCAGATGGGTGACAAATTAGCCAGACAGTCGCACCCAGTGAGTAGTGGTGGACGGGTCATTTTCGATCTGGAGGGATGTGGGCAGTGGGGTCCCCCAGGGCTCAGTCCTTGGGCCCGCACTCTTCAACATCTTCATGAGCGACTTGGACGAGGGGGTGAAAAGCACCTTGTTCAAATTTGCAGATGACACTAAGATGTGGGGAGAAGTGGGCATGCTAAAGGAGAGGGACAGGCTACAACTAGATCTGGACAGGTTACAGGGGTGGGCAGATGAGAACAGGATGGGTTTCAACACTGACAAGTACAAGGTACTGCACCTGGGAAGGAAGAACCAGCCGCATACCTACACGCTAGGGAACTCCCTTCTCGTCAGCACAGAGGCAGAAAGGGATCTTGGAGTCATTACTGACTCCAAGATGAACATGGGCCACCCATGTGAGGATGCGGCCAATAAGGCTAACTGCACCTTGTCACACATCCACAGATGCAACACAAGCAGATCCAAGGAGGTGATCCTCCCTTTTTATGCGACACTAGTCAGGCCGTACTTGGAGTACTGTGTCCAGTTCTGGGTGCCACACTTCAGAAGGGATGTGGACAGCATGGAGAGGGTCCAGAGGAGGGCCACTCACATGATCAGGGGGCAGCAGGGCAGGCCCTACGAGGAGAGGCTACGGGACCTGAACCTGTTCAGCCTCTACAAGAGAAGGCTGAGCTGGGATCTGGTGGCCATCTATAAACAGGCCAAAGGGGACCAGCAGGCAATGGGGGAGTCCCTGTTCCCCTGAGTACTACCGGGAGTAACAAAGAATAACGGTCATACGTTGACTGAGCAGATTCAGGCTAGACATCAGGAGGCACTACTTCAGTCAGGTCGGCTAGGATCTGGAACCAACTTCCAAGGGAAGTAGTGCTCGCTCCTACCCTGGGGGTCTTCAAAGGGAGGCTAGATAGACACTTAGCCACGGTCGTTTGACCCCAGTGCTCCTTCCTGCCCAGGGCAGGGGGTCAGACTTGATGATCTGCTCTGGTCCCTTCCAACCCTACCAACTATGAAACTATAACTTCTCTAGGTAGCTTGTTTCAATGTTTAACCACAATCATAGTGAGAAAGCTTCCTACTACCCAAACTAAATTTCCCTTGTTGCAATTTTAATATCCTTTGTCCTGTTCCCTTTGGCCACAGAAGGTAGTCTATGACCTTCTTCTTTAAATACCTGAAGGATGGTTATAAAGACTATTATCAAACTTCCCCTCAATCTTCTCTTTGCCAGACTAAATAAACTGTTTTTCCAACCTTTTCACACGAGTCATATTTCCTTGAGTCTGTGGTTTGATTGCTCTGTGTTTGAAAAGTCAGTTTCACAGTTGCCCTTAGTTTGACAAGTCAGTTTCAGAGCAGTGTGTTCTGTGTGGGACAACACTCACAACTAAGGGTGAGATGGAAGCTTCCTGATTTTGATCACCAATGATACTCAGATATATATGTCAATGGGCCAGGGTTAACATAAGCAAAAAAGATTTAAAAGCCAAGCAACCTGTGACCAAACTGAACCAGCAACCAGAGAACAGTTATTTGAATACTTTTGACTTTATCTTATGCAAATTTAAGGACTAAATAGAAATACAGATGATGGCTCCTGAGGCAGCACTGAAGGAGACCCAATAATGGAGTAGACAAGAAAAAAAGCTGTAGAAGTTGAGGGATATACATTAACCTTGAGTGTTCACCTGATATAATCCATTTATGTATGAAGTGTCACCTGAGAGGCTTAATGAAATACAAGATCCAAGAACTAGAGAGGCAGCTTGTGGTATTCAGATGGAAATATGGTGGAGGAGAGAAAAGAGATTGTATGGACAACTCAAGATTTGTAGACACTTGCTAATAAACCAAATGACCTGGAGGACTGACTGCTAGATAATGGTGACCATTAGAACAAGGCAATGGAAGAGACTGGCTACAGAGGGATAGAGGATTGTAGCACTGGAGAATAAGGATGATATACAAACAGAAAGAGAAGAAACAAAATTAGCTAGACTCAGAAGATAAGATGGGGACCAAAGAGTCCAAAAGACTGAAGAGGAACACAGATGAAATACTGAGGAGTTCAAGAGTTAAAACAAGATGGAGTGTTTTGCAGAAAAAGAATACTAAGAATAAAAGAATATTAAGAAGAGAATTGGAGAGTAAAGAAAAAGGAAAGTCTACGAGCTTTGTGACTCTTTTAGAAGAATCGACTGGCTGTCACCTGAGCAAATCCAGAGAACAGGATAGCATGCTGTAAGAAGAGATGCAAGGCGTCAGGGCCTCTGGACAGTCAGACCCAGCTGGGCAAGCTCATGAGCTGCCATACCTGACCTTGATCCATAGCTAATGTGACTGTCCCAGTTCTCTGAGACTGGACTGGCTGCTGAAAGCACCACTCAGCCCATTTAAGTACACCTGCAGCCTCAGGCTGCAGGCACAACTTGATAACAGCCTCAGTCTGCTCTGGCAAGCTTTATGTTCACTACTGTCTCTAGTTCTCCTAGCTCCTGACGCAGCTTCAGCTCTCCCTGACCCTGCTCTTGGATCTTCCCTGGAACTTGGCACCTGGCTGTCTGATTCTCTTGGTTTCTGACCTCATTTTACACCCAGAACTATACCTCATAGACCTTAGCTCCAGTGTCCCGGACCCTGACCTGACAGTCTGGTAACCTGCACCCCAACCCAGCTGACCTCCTTGTTGCTCTCTGGGGACCTATCCCAACTGAAATCTTACACAAGGTAAGGACCTGTAACTGAAGATGACGACTGTGTTCATTCATTTTAGGATAAATGACACTACCAAGTTTGCATTGGAACAGATTAAGTATGATTATGCCAAATCAAAAGGTGGCTCTCATGACTGTCAGTGGAATTCTTCCTTTCCTGGTCCATACAAAAGGAGGGTGACAGTTAAAAAAATTAATCAACAGAACTGGTGCTACAGATTAGGTTTGGGGATATGTGCGCAGCAGAAGGCATTCACAGAATGAAGACACTCCTCAAATGCTGAACTCCTCTAAATGTGATACTAGACTTTTGGGATCAAGGCTGGCAACTAATAAGAAAAAGCTTTGAACCAAGAAATGGGGGAGAAAGTTCATGGACTAGCCATGACTAAAACATGAGGTAAAGGAACACCAGAAGGTAGGTGTAAAATGGTGATCCAATCCCTTTAAGGAGGAACGGTTAACCCTTTCAAGAAAGTCTAGCTTTGCCATTGGGCATTTGGGTAAGCAGAAAGTATCCCACTGGGAGCTCCCAGAAAAGTATGTAAAAGGAGGAGGAAGCAATCTATGAAAGGAACAGCTTGCTGCAAGGAGGGGTCAAGCAGGTGTGCTGGGACCCAAAAAAAGTGGGGATCCCTTCCTAGTGTCCAGGACAGGGCAGAGAGGGATTTTGTTTTGTTTGTCTATTTAAAAGACCGAACTTTGCTTTAGTGGACTTACTGAGAATCTTCTCAAAGAACAAATTCCCCTGCAAACTAGCAGGCTAAGCAACCTTACAGTAGGAATCTGGATAGCCAGGAGAAAAAAAAAATTAAATCATCTCATCTAATACTGAGAAGAACAATAGCCAGACATACAATATTGTTAGCAACAGCAGTATCCCATCTGGTAAGGAAAATGAGTGGCATCGTGAACATTTGTAAATGAATGCAAAGAATACGAGCAACAAATTGGAGAATGAGAACTACTGCTGTCCAATTTCAAATTGGCCCTTATAGAGGTAACAGAAACTGAATGGAACAACACCCAAGTACTGCAATACTGATGATAAATAGAAATAAATGAAGATAGTTGAAAAGCATCTTACATTAATTATGTAATAAACAGCAAAGGAATAAAGAGAGACAGAATAATCAAACAGAATCTATTTAGGTCCAAACCACTCCAGATCCAAACATTGGACTGGATTGCTACAGATCCAATTATTTTATGTGTGACAATTTTTCCTAAAAATGTCAGATAAGGAATTTTTGTCAATGTAATTTAAGCAGTGTAATCACTTTTTTCTTTTATCTTGTTTTTCATTTCTGCCTGTCAAGAGTCCCTGTATACAACCCTGTAAAGCCATATGCCTTGAATCTACCTCTCACTGGTCGAGTCTACACGAGATGCTGACTGTGCAGCAGCCAAATAATACTGCGTGCTAGCGCATCACAGCATGGGCAGTGCTAATATGGTGCTTCACAGTTATTAGGCTACTACGCAGTTGCATCACTTAAAAGATGTTCGCTGGCACTACTGCACAGTAACTCTGGTTACTGCATATTTATTTAGTACTTGCTAATAAAAGTACTAAATAAATGTGCAGTAATCACTGCACAGTAGTATCTTTTGTAAACATGTCCACCGAGGAACTTTTTTGATACTCTGTATAAAGGATGCTACATAAAATGTACTCTATTTTACCGCCTGAAACGACTAATCTTTATAGATTTAATTTAAAAAAAAATTAAGGTAGTTAATAAACTTACAAATATAAGGCTGCATTAAACTTGGAATGTTTTATGAAATCTGTTGACTTTGGTTTAAATCAGTAATCAAATGACACTGAAGATCTTCAGATCTGATTTTAAAAGACCAAATATATACATTTTAAGCATCTTTTCTAGCAATATAGAATCATCTCGCCAAAACATATGAACTATGGTACATACCTAGAAAATACATTGTTACGTTTTTTAAATCTCAAATTCAGTTTTAATGTTAACCCATTTACCAACTATGTCAGCAATCCAAAAGAATGTAGTGAAAATACCTTATCTGTAAGAAGTTGGGCAAGATTTCGCTGTTTTCTTGCTAGATATTGATCATATAACTGAGCCAGTTTGGCTGCCAGAACATGCTCACGACTAAAACAAGGATGATGGGTGAATATTAACCCAGAAATATCTATGTCCATTTGAAACTGGCCATGAGGATCCCCAGAGCCAACAATATATTGGTTGGCAGGCATCAGTTTTATTGCCTGAAAAAAAAGAAAAGATTAAAATTGTATTGTAGGATTATTCTGAAAGATACATTAAACATTGGAAAGATGACCCCTTAATAGGCAATAACCTAGTAATCTTATCTGTTTCAACAATATGAAATTTATAGATGCTAGGGTCAGAAGGGACCTCAAAGGATCATCGAGCCCAAACCCCTGCCAGTGGCAGGAAAGAGAAAAAGTGCTGGGGTCATGTGACTCCAGCCAGGTGCTTTTCCAGTCTCCTCTTGAAGACCCCCAAGGTAGTGGAGAGCACCACCTCCCTTGGAAGCCTGTTCCAGATTCTAGCAACCCTAACCATGAAGAAGTTCTTTCTGATGTCCAACCTAACCTACTCTCCATCAGCTTGTGGCCATTGTTTCTAGATATTCCAAGGGGTGCTTTGGTAAACAGAGTATTACCTATTCCCTGATGCCCACCCCGGTGAATTTATATACTGCCACAAGATCCCCCCACAGTCTTCTCTTGCAGAGGCTGAAAAGATCCAGGGCCATCAGCCTTTCCTCACAAGGCCTTCCCTGCAGGCCTCTAACCATATAAGTGGCCCTCCTTTGAACCCTCTCAACATTGTCCACATCCCTCTTGAATTGCGGCGCCCAGAATTGGACGCAGTACTCCAGCTATGGCCTAACCAGTGCCGCATACAGAGGGAGCATCACCTCCCTGGACCTGGTCATGCACCTACTGATGCATGACAAAGTGCGGTTAACTCTGCTAACTGCTTCATCACATTGACGACTCATATTCATCTTGAAGTTGACAATGACTCCGAGATCTCATTCTGCCACTGTGCTGCTGAGGTCATCCTCCAGCCTATAGGTGTGCTGGTGATTCCCTCTCCCTAGGTGCAGCACCTTGCACTTTTCCTTGTTAAACTGCATCCTACTGTTCTCTGCCCACTTCTCTAACCTGTCAAGGTTCTGGTTTGGTTTCTTCCCATCAGTGTATTTCTTCGCCCCATAGTTTGGTGTCATCTGCGAACTTGAACACAGTGATTTCTATGGCCTCATCCAGGTCACTGATGGAGATATTGAACAGCACCAGCCCAAGGACCGAGCCTTGGGGGACCCCACTGCCCACATCTTTTGAAGCTGATAACAACCCATCCACCACCACTCTCTGGGTACGACCCTTACGTCAATTTGCCACCCACATAACTGTGTAATCGCCTATGACACAGCCATTCAATTTGTGTATAAAAATAGGATGGGATACTGTATTGAAGACCTTCTTAAAGTCCAAGTTGTATCTTGTTTATCAAAAAAAATCAAGTTTGAGAATTCAGGGTTACAGAACCACAAACAACTCTTCCAGCCTATTCCAAAAAAGCAGAACGCAGTCTGTCCACCCATGGTATGAGTGAGCTAGCTAACCCCTCCTGGAAACCCTGCCAAAGTACTTCCAGGGTTAATTCTATCATTTAACAAGACTTGGCAGAATTAGTTTGTTGTTTTTTTTTTTGGGGGGGGGGGGGGAGGGGTTGTTTGTTTTTTTTAATATATATATAATTTTGACAGCTTTAAAAAAAAAAAAAAAAAAAAAAAAAAACCCAAAACCCCAAAACACAATTTTTAAGCAAAAAACATTTGTTTAAATTTTTTAATCGATTTAAATTTTCAGGACTGTGAAAAATTAGAGGTCTTGGGGGCAGACAGTTTAGTAATGACAATATACTGTTAAAAATCACGTAAAAATATAAAAAGTATATATCCATAAATCAATAAAACATACCTGTTTTAAATAATTCTGTTCACTCACCAGGAAAGAGCTGGAAAGGCAGGGACCAGAAGAGGAGGGCAGTGGCACTAACAGAGCTCCGAGAACATGGGGAGAGGGAGAGGCAACTCCATAGAGCCCCTGCCAGCTGGGACCCCGCGCTCCTGCCACCCTGCTCTAGGCCCCGCCGGCACTGGCCCCAGGACACCAATGTGGGCCCTGTGCTCCCACTGGCTCCCTGCCCACTCACACCCAGTGCCCTCTAGCCCCATGGTACAGGCGGGGGGCAGCGCACAGCCCTGCGCCAGCAGGGAAGAAGCTGGTGCTGAGCGTGGGGAAAAGTGGCCCATCACCTGCCCCATGGCCGGTGCTCCGCGGTGCAGGCACTCGCAGCCTGGGCGGCACTGTCTGGAGCAGGCACAGGCAGC